AGAATGAGAGAGACAGAGAGCACATGAGAGGGGGGAGGGTCAGAGGGAGAAGCAGACTCCCCGCCGAGCAGGGAGCCCGATGCGGGACTTGATCCGGGGACTCCAGGATCATGACCTGAGCCGAAGGCAGTTGCTTAACCAACTGAGCCACCCAAGCGCCCGAAGAGTCAGAAATTCTTGACAAAACCTGAAGCCATTTTAAAGCAAAGGGGAAGGGGCCCCCGAAGAGGGAGAAATTTAAGATACTAGAAGAGGGAAACAGAAGTTATAAGAAAAATCCTCCAGGGGTGCCTGGGTGGCTCAGTCAGTTAAGCATCTGCCTTCGGCTCAGGTCATGATCTCGGGGGTCCTGGGATCCAGCCCTGCTTTGGGGTCCCTGCTCAGCAGGGAGCCTGTTTCTCTCTCTCCCTCATCCCCGCCGCCCCCCTCGCCCCCCCCCCCGCTCATGCTCAATCTCTCTCTCTCTCTCTCAAACAAATAAATAAAATAAAATAAAAAAAATCCCTTGGTGATTGGGAAGAACAAGGATCCAAGGTACAGATGGAGGAATCACCTTTATTTATTTATTTATTTATTTTTAAAGATTCTATTTATTTATTTGACACAGAGAGATAGCGAGAGCAGGAACACAAGCAGGGGGAGTGGGAGAGGGAGAAGCAGGCTTCCCGCGGAGCAGGGAGCTGGATGGAGGGAGCCGGATGCGGGGCTCGATCTCAGGACCCTGAGATCATGACCTGAGCCGAAGGCAGACGCTTAACGACTGAGCCACCCAGGCGCCCCAGGAGTCAACTTTAGGGAAGAGGAGAGAGATTTCTTCCTCCGAATCTACATATCTTCAGCATCTAAAACAGTGCCCAGCATATAGTGGAGTACTCAAATATTTGTTGTAAAGATTAAGAGGTTGTGAAAAAATGGAAATACATTGAGGTGAGGACACTAAAAACTGTGGTCTCGCACAGGGGAGATGATGACTTTCTCCAAAAAAAAGTAATAAGTGGATGTTATAATAGTAATACCAGTAATAATCCTGGTGGCTAATGTTGAATACTCATGTGACAGACACTCTCCACATGGATTTACATACACACTTTCATTTAATCCTCACTAAATCCCTGTAAAATAGTAATATTATTGTTTCCATTTTAAAGGTGAGAAAACTGAGACTTGGAGAGGTTTAGCAACTTGCCCATTAACTAGTAAATGTCAAAATTAAGATTCAAACTTAATGTTTGTCTGACTCCAAAGTCAGAACTTTTTAACCAAACACATTATGCAGCTCATTCAGTATTAACAGTACTAATAGTGTTTATTGAGAACCCTCTATGTGTCAGGCATTATGGTAACTGCCCTACCTGAATTATCACATTTAATTTAATGAAACTGAAGTTGAGAGAGAGGGCTTGGGAACGTGAATAAGGTGGAGAAGGAAGGAAAAGACACT